AAAAACTCTACTGAAGTTACAAATCTATTATATACAGCTTGCTTTTCTTTTTACATATAAATAATATAATATATGATATAATGTAATGTAATATAATTAATATATTCAACATGTGACTTTCAAGAGGTCCTACTTGTTTGTGATTCTTTCTGGCTTTCTGTGCATTAAACAGATGTTCTCTTCTTTCTTTAATGGCATGGATTCTACAGACTGCATGGCAGATGGGACTATAGATGTTACGTTGTTCAGTGATCTGTTGAGCATTGACATAAGGTAGTATATGGAGATACTTGTTTGCCAAAGGTTTTGGCAGCAGCATTGGGGAAGATATTCCACCTGAGATCCAACGAAAAGAGTATTTATCTTAATGATGGCAAAATTCTCCAAATGCTCTATTTCCAGATGAAATCCTACTAATTGCATTGAACCACATTGGGGAAGGCCATGATAACGAAAAAGAATAGTCAAACCATCCACAGTAGAAAAACAAAATGTATGAAAAAATGTACCTTGCTAGATTATGACATGCAGCTAAATGTTACATTCAGCATGTAGAATTAGTCCATCAATATTTGTACCTTGGTAAGTGTTAAGGTGGATAATGAGATGGAATTCAATAGGAAGTAGTTATCAAGCTGACTTATGTTTGGGAAATTGCATTTTGCTTTCAGTTACTCCAAACTGCTTACTTCTCTCACGGCCCATCTCTTTATGAACATTATTCTGTTCGTGTGAATCATGGAAATCCACCACCTCAGAAGAATTATGATCACAATTAATCCAGAAGGCTCTAGAAAGATTCATGGCTGGGTAAAATCATCATTTAGCATGATATTAGTCATAAATTATAGGATCACAGCCCTCCAGCCAGAAGGGACCTCAGAGATCACCTAGCCCTTTTTTTTTTTTTTTTTTTGTTACAGATGAGGCCTCAGTTGGCCCAGAGAAAATGAGTTGGCCAAAGTCACATTAATGATGTCCTGTGTATAAGAAGTGGTATAAAGAAAATTTTGAGGATATGGGCTGGGCAGGTAGTGAAAAAGAGTGAAAACAAGAGAACGTGAATGGCTACCAGGGCTACCAGGTGATCAAAGGAAAAGGTAAGAGGAAGGCCTCCCTCACACTGAGTAGATCCTTCATGGAAAAACTCAGACAAGTTACCCATCATCCAAAGGGTAGAGGAGTTGTGGACTGAAAGCCAGGCAAGAAAGATGCATTTTCCTCAGTTTGACACTAAATCAAATGCACCATGATTCAAGAGTGACTTACTTTAACTAGGATGCTATCCAAAGGAAGAGATGGGATGAGGCTCACCTTTGTTCCTTAAGGTGTTTGTTTTTGGCTGCCTTTTCATGGTCACCCCCTGGAGCTGCTTCCCACCTCTTTGGAGGTGCAACTGGCTCTGAGAGGATGGGGGGGGTGCAGCATAAGACACCATTCAAGCCCATTTATGTCCATTTATGTCCAATTTCCCAAACATAAGAGCTTTGGTCATCCTGTTTATTGCCTGGCTTTCAGCCCACCAGATACTATGAATGCAAGTCCAGAAGAGATCTGGGCCAGAGCCCTCATGGGCTGGTAGAGCCAAAGACCAAGAAAGAAGATGTCACTTCTACCCCCATATATGTTCTCCATCCCTAGGAAAGCATGTACTCCAGATGCATGGGGACCACTCCACTCAAGCGCCTTACAGGCAGGCCAGCCTGGTAACTTGTTTGCCAGTGTGAAAATAACTCACATTTATATAGCACTTTAAGCATTTTCCTCTATTAGTTACAATGATCTTGTGAGGTAGGTAGTGCTATTATCCCCTTTTTTACAGATGGAGAAATTGAGGCAAAGAGGTGAAATTATTTGCTTAGGTTCACTGCCAGTATTAGAGCTGGGATAGGAGTAATTACTTATGTTCCTATGCTTTTTTACATGCATTATCTCATTTGATTTTCACAAAAGCCCTGTAAACTTGGCAGGTTAGGAATTATAATTCCAACATATAGATGAGGAAACTAGCCAAGAAAGGTCCACTGACTTGTTCCAGAGTCCCCCAATAAGGCAGTGGCAGAGCTTACAGGTGAACCTAGGTCTTTGTGTCCAATGTCCTTCTACCAAACAGGCAGAGCTGAACCAGAAGCAGCTGCACTTGGTATCAGTTCTTCCCTTTTTGGTACAGACAGGCTGTAACAAGGTTTTGTTTATTTGTTTGTTTTGATAGGTAAAGAGGCCATTCTCTGCCTTACTTCTTAATTGCTTTAATTCAGCCTTAATTGCTGAATGGGCATTGCCTCAGTCAAACTGAGACCTGTGAGGCTTGAAAAGGCTAAGATCTCCCACTACATCCAGGGCCACTTGCAGTCATCCTGATCTATATCTAACCACTGGACCCAGATGGCTCCAGAGGAGAAAGTGAGGTTGGTGACTTTGCACAGCCCTCCCTCAATTAAATCCAATTGATTTGCATGTTGCGTTATCACCTCCCTCCTGTCGTGGTCCTCTTCCGAGAATGAAGGACAAACAACAAGCAGGAGTTGTGATCTGCGTTGACAGAGGGAGCCCCCACATCAAAGAAAACAGAGATGTTTCAAATAGTCAAAATAAGTGAATTGTGTGTGATTCACACTAATCATGGATTAACTTAGTACCAGAGTGAGAAGGGATCTTAGAATGTAAAATGTCTGTGCCTAACAGAGCTGGGTATTCTATGAGTGAGTGAATATTAGAGCTGAAAGTGACTCTAGAATATAAAACATTAGAGCTAAAAGGATCTTGGACTATAGAACTATTAAAATGCCAGAGCTGGAAAGGACCTTCAAAGTAACCTAAATGAAATATCTCATTTGACAGAAAACTGATGCCCAGAGAGGGAAAATGACCTGTTTAGCTAAAGTCATACATTGAGTCAGTGGCAGAGACTATAACCTAGGTTTCTTGACTCACAGCTCCATTCTCTCTCCATTATACTGTGTGGTCTCTCCAGAGTACAGAGAGTCTGCTATTTTTACTTTCCTGGCTAAACTAATTTTTACTTCTCTAGATGGTGCTAGGTGGCAAAGTTAATAGAGCATTGGGCCTGGAATCATGAAGACTTGAGTTCAAATCCTACTTGGGACACTTACTAGCTTTGTGACCCTGGGCAAGTCACTTAAACTGCCTCAACTTCCTCAGCTATAAAATGGGGATCATTATAGCATCTATTTCCTAGGGTTGTAGTGAGGATAAAATAAGATCATATTTGTAAAGCATTTGGCACTCACTATGTGCCTGGCACATAGCAGGCACTTAATAAGTGCATGTTTCCTTCCTTCTTATTCTCCCTTTCTCTCCTTTAGGAAGCTGCACCCTTAGGTGACTTGGAGAGTCGCAATAGCGATAACATTCCCAGAATGACAAGCAGGGGGCTAGAGGAAGTTGAGCGGTAGTAGCTCCATCATTTACAATAGCCTCCTAGTTACTACTTTATGCAATCAGATTTTGAGCGAGAAGGATCTTTCAAAGCCATTCCTTCATTTTGCAGATAAGGAAACTGAGGCCCAGAGAGGTAAAGTATGCCCAAAGTCATACAAGTAGCATGTGGTAGAAGCTGTAATTTGAGCCTGGCTCCTCTTAACTCCAAATCCAGGATTTTTTTCTCTGTACCATACTGTTTCTATAGAAGGTCAGAGTTGGAAAGAAAGTCAGTCAGTGATAACCTAGCGTCCTTGTCCAACCCAGTGCAGAGGAAAGAACAGTGGCTTTGTAGATAGGATACATGGGTTCAAACCCTATTCTGTCACTTACCAGCTCTATGACCTTGGCTGCCATACGGCTTTGGGGGAGTATTCTCTTTCACAATCCAGCTAGGATGTGAGAAACTGATTATTTTGGCTTTTTGTCCTTAGCCTCTAACTACCTAACTTAATAATAAATGCTTAATAAGTGGTTAAGAATCTTTGACTCTGCTAGATTCCTTCCAGCTCTAGAGCTTGAAGTTCTAGGAAACCCTTCATTTTTACAGAGGAACAAATTGGGACCAGAAAGAGGAAATAATCCTAAAGCCACACATCTAGTTAGTTGTTAGGGCCAGAGCCAGACCCAGGACTCCTCCTTCATTGCATGACGGCTCTGCTGAGTAACTTAAAAGCCAAAATAAATTTAGTGATTCTAGGAAAACCATGTGAGCCTCAAGAATTATCTCCTGGCAAGGAAGTTTTACCCCATGGGGGCGATGGACAAGTGGACTTCTTAAGTGCCTTCCAAGTTCTCTGATAATAAGTCCACTAGGAGCTGGGAAAGGCAGGAACCGGTTTCTTTTTCATCCAGGCCCACACCTTGGCTAAACAAGTTTGTGCTCAGAGAAGCAGTTGGGCCTTGGGCACAAGGACTCAAGCTTGTTTGGATTTTTGTGTTAAATGTTTTCTTATCCTGTTTGTCTTCTCCAAGGGCGGGAAGTGCCTGTCTCACATTCCAGAGCCCTGGGGAGCCAGAACCTGGTAGGTTGGTCAGGATCCAGATTAGCTAATCCTGCTGGTTGCAGCTGCGGTACCTGCTGCGTGCCATCCTGAGCCCAAGCCTGTGCCCTCAGGCGTTCTGCCCCTCGAGTCCGTACCGCTAGTGCTACGGGGCAAGAGGAAATGGGTCACTGGATTCAGAGATAGAAGGTTCCTTAGGGATCACATCTATTCCAACGCCTTCCATTTACAGACAGGGAAACTGAGTCTCAGAGAAGAGAAGAGACTCGACCGATGTCATAATGACAAGCGACAGCAGAATGGGGATATGGACCCAGGGCTTCCGACTGCAGATCCTGGGCACTTGGCATTCATTCCCTGCAGCACAGGTCCTCTCTGGCCAGAGATGCGGAGCCGAGAGCTCAGCCTCTGTCCAGCGTGAGGCCCAGGGATTGGGGCTGGTTGGGCAGGGGCGGGCCCCGGTGTATTGCCCCCTCCCTCCGCCCCTCCTCTCCCAGCTCCTCGGGGGCCGGGGCTGGGGCGGGGGCTGGCCGACGTGGCGCGGGCGCAGCCGGGGATCAGGCGGGGAGGAGATCCCCAGAAAGTTTGCGGAGCGGCGGCGGGGCCGCACCGAGGGATGCGCTCCGCTCTCCCTGCCGCCCCCGACCAAGTCGGGTATCCCGGCACGGCCGAACCAGGCTAGCCATGGGTAAGTAAGAGGCAGCCCCGGAGCGAGGGCAGCCCCGACCCTTGGCTCAGCTCCCTCCCAGGGCTTCACCAAACTCGGGGGGATTCCCATGAGGCCGTGCCCCCAATTCCCACCGCTCCTCCCAAACTCTGTGGGCTCCTGGGCCCTCCTCCCCTGGGCCCCTCTGGCCGCCTCTTCGGGCTCCACCCTCTTTCCTTTCTCCCTATTTTCCTCTCCCCACTTCCCATCCACTCACTTCCTCCTACGCCCCAACTCCCATCCTGGGAGATAACCCGAGTTTACCCAAGTGCCTGATTTTGTCCCTGTTCCTATATTACAACTACCACTGCTAATGCACATTTTCATAGCGCATTAAGGTTTACAAAAGCACTCTTCTCAAAACAACCTGTGAGATTGTTCAAGTATTCAATTACTCCAAATACTCCACTTAATCCGTGATTTCATGAACTTGGATATTCCCTCCAACCATCTGTCTATGCCTGACTATCCTTCACAAGGCTTGTACTATTGTCCATGTTGTCCCAAAACCTCCTTAACAGGAGTTCTACCCAAACTACTGGAGTCTACCTTATCCTCTCTCTCTCTCTCTCTCTCTCTCTCTCTCTCTCTCTCTCTCTCTCCTTCTTCCCAATCCCCTCCCTCCCTTTCTCCCTCCCCACTATGACGGTATGTTCCATCCACCTATGCAGATCCATAAACCATAACTTATATTTTAGGGAATTTCCTGAATTCTGCCTTGAACTAAGTATTCTGGATTCCAAATCCTCTTGTCTGTTTACTGTCCACTACTCCACACCCTCTCCTCTCCATTTTAATGAGGAAACCAGCCTCAAAGAAGTGGTTTATGACTTCAAAGTTCAACCAGTAATAGAATTTAGAGCCAGGGTTTGAACCTATGTTTCTTGTCTCCAAGTCCAGGGTTCTTTTCCTTATACCACTTTAGGATCATTTTTTTAAGGTGATTGGGGTTAAGTGACTTGCCCAGGGTCACACAGGTAGTAAGTATCAAGTGTTTCGTCTGAGACCAGATTTGAACTCAGGTGCTCCTGACTTCAGGGCTGGTATTGTATCCACTGTGCCACCTAGGGATCATTTTTTTAAAGAGCCTGGATCTCCTGACCAGACTGGAAGCAGAGATGCCACTTCTGGGTCCACTGCAGATGACAATGGAGCTTTGACCTGCTCCGTCCTGACCTGGATTAGGTGGACCCTTCGCAGGTAGCCTGATGGCTCGTCCTCCCATTCTTGAGGGCTCACTGTATCTATGCCAGACAATGTAGATACTAAATCAGTTTTAGTTCTATTGTAGCTGAACTGCAGCTCAGAATTCTCTAGCTCAGAAGATCTACAGGCCTCAGTCTCCCCATGAGACAAGATTAAAAGCTTGGGTGCTACATCTAGCTTCTCTTATTCTAAAGAGTAAATTAAGATTTAGAGAAGTGAATTTACTTGCCTGAGGTTAGAGGGGTAATAAGTAGTGGAAGCCTGGATTTGGAGTCAGAGAATGGGTTTTGGAGTGGCCAGCGTGGTCACTCTGGCCCTGAACTGTCCACAGAGAAGGCTGCCCATGCTGTATTCACAGCTAGTAACTTCCCATTGCTGCTACTCAACAGGTGAGAAGCTTTTCCAATGTCAGTCTTTGCTCCTTTAGTCCTGCTTCCCTTCTCTGAAGTAGAGTAGTTATGTGTCAGGTGGCTAGAGCCCTGGACTGGTGTCAGGGAGACCTGAGTGTGAATCCTGCCTCAGGTACTAACTAGTTATGTGACCCTGAGCAACTTAACTCTCCTCTCTCAGGCTCAGTTTTCTCATATATAAAATTTGGGCATTTGCATCTATCCCACAGAGTTGTTGTGAGGATCAGATGAGATCATATTTGGAAAGCACTTTGCATGCTATATTTACAAAGTACTTAAAGTACTATATAAATGCTAGCTATTATTATTAGAATGGTCTCTGCACATAATGCATGCCTAGTGAGTTTAAAACTACCTCTGTGCATTGAAAGAAAAACTCGGAGTACACATCATTATTCAAACAGGTGATTGACAGCTGTTCAATTGAATCTATTTGAGTAGTTATAACAAGTAGGTATGCCTGTTTTATGGTCATTTCTCTCACCTTCTGATTCCTACCTTACTCTCAGTTTTAATTAACAGCTCTCTCCCTCAGCACCATCTGACCCAAAGGAAACAACGTTCTTTCTGTCTGGTTGCTGCAGGCCTTACCACATCACTCAGGCAGAACTCTGGTTCAGTCTGCAGGTTCCCCACCCTTGAGAGTTCTAGAACTCTCTGATGTCTCACTCCTCATCTGCCATTCTAAGAAATCTTGTCTAAACTAATCCCTCTTTTCTGGGCCCTTTAATTATATTGTAGAATCAGGTCTTCTGACTGTAAGACCAATGCCCTTGCCCCAGTTTCTAACTATCCTGGCTCTGGGTATCTAATGTGCTTCTCCTCCTCCTGCTCCTCCCTCACCCCCTCCCACCAGGTCCTCCAGTCTGGAGAATATTTCCAGTTTCTCCAATTTTCTTTTCTTTCCACCTCTGCACTTAAACATAACATCTGTTCCCCCCCCCCCCCCCCCCCGCCCTTTTTGCCTCTAGCTGGGTTCTTCTTCCAAAGATGTCTATCACAACTGTATTATTGCATTAGCATATTAGCATATCCATGAGCATATTAGCATATTGCATGAACATTTTCTCTGGATCCTGCCTCAGTTAGGCAAGGATACATTCTAAGGTCCACCTTATTTGGTTAACATTTTTCTAGTTTTTTAAAACTTGTGTTTTTCAAAACTTTCAAAACTCGTTTGTGCACAGTTTGGGCATAGACCTTTTGGGCCACCAGCAGTGAGCAAGAAAGGTCTGGTTGAGATCATAAGGCCTCCCTGTAGGGTTTTCTGGTTGGACTTTATTGACAGTCAACATTATGTTGACATTCCTTTCCCTTTGGCTCTGTGAGGAGCCAGGAGGTTGCATACTTTGTTCTTTCACTGTGGCCATTCGTGACCTGGAAAAAGAATAAGAAAATGTCAAAGTGGAAAGGGACTTGAAAACATAGAATGTGAGAGCCAGAAGCATATAGCATTCAATGCCAGAGCTGGAAAAATCTTAGAACATGGCATTGGAGGGCCAGAAAGGACTTTAGCCTAAAGAATGCCAGAACTGGAGGGAGCCAGAAGGGATCTTAGGCTATAGAATGCCAGAATTAAGCAACCTGATAGCATGGAATGCTGAAGCTAGGAGTTTAAAATACAAACTATTAGAACTAAAGGAGAATTAGACCATGGGCTTACTGTATCTGAACTACGGAGACCTTAGAACATAGAATGCCAGAGCTACATTTGGATCTAGAATGTTAGAGCTAGAATTCAGTTCAATTCAACAATTATTTATCAAATGCCTACTAGGTACAAGGGTACTGGGCTGGATGCTAAGCACACAAAGACAAAAATAACATAGCCCTTGCCCTCAAGGAGCTTACATTGGGGGTGGGGTGGTGAAGGTTGCAATACATAAAAAAATAAATATTAATAGAGGGGAAATTGACTGGCTGTCATGGAAATGGTGCTTGAGGGGCAACTAGGTGGCACAGTGGATAGAGCACTGGCCCTGAAGTCAGGAGGACCTGAGTTCAAATTCGGCCTCAGACCAAACACTTGACACTAGCTGTGTGTCCCTGGGCAAGTCACTTAACCTCAATTGCCTAAAAAAAAAAGTGCTTGAGCACAATCTTGAAGGCAGATCATAATTTTGAGAGGCAGGGATGAGGAAGGAGTGTATTTCAGGCAGAGAAAATTGCTTGTGTGAATGCACTGAAGTGAAAGCTGGCGGAATGAGTTTGGGAAGCAGCTAGCAGTTCAGTTTGACTAGAATGGAGATGTCAGAAAAAGCAGTAGTATGAAATAAGACTAGAACATGTTGCGGCAGCTACGTGGCCCAGTGCATAGAGCATCAGCCCTGGAGTCAAGAAGACCTGAGTTTAAATCTAGCCTTAGACACTTACTAGCTGTGTGACACTGGGCAAGTCACTTAACCCTGATTGCCTCAAAAAAAAAAAAAGAAAAGAAAAGAAAATGTAGAAGAGAGAGAGAGAGAGAAACAGAGTGAAGCAGGCAGAGGAGTCATTAAAGGTTTGTGAGCAGGGAAGTTCCATAGTTATGCCTATGTCTTTAGATCATTTTGTTGACTTGTTAGTTTGGGGGAGGTAAAGATTGGATGCAGAGAAACCTTTTAGGAGGCTGTTGCTATAATAAGAGGTGATGAAGGCCTGAGCTAGGATGGTGACAGAGTGTGTGAGTGTGTGTGTGTGTGTGTGTGTGTGTGTGTGTGTGTACATGTGGAGAATCATGTTAGAATTAACAAGTCTTCTCAACTGACTAGATGTGGGAAGGGAAATGAGGAAGAAGGATCAGTGAATTAAATCATACAGTAAAACCTTGATTAATCAGAACCTTTGGATTCCTGGGATTAGAAAGGAGGTGACACTATGAAAAATAAGAAAATGACAAGAAAATATAAGCATTTATTTAAAAAACCACCAATGATTTATTAAAATAACAGCAATGTTAATACCTAGCATTTATATAACTTTCTAAGGTCTGCAAAACATTTTATGTACGTTATTTCATTTAATTTGGATTTAATCCAATAAGCCCATGAGGTAGGTGCTATTATTATTCCCATTTTACAGATGGGGAAAATGAAGCAAATGGAGGTTGTGACCTGCCCAGGCCAAATTTGAACTCAAGTCTTCCTGACTCCAGGCCCTGGGCTGTAGTCGCTGCACTTTCTAGCTGTCTAACTAGGAGAACAAATTAGGATCCCCATTTTTTTATTCCAATTCTAGCACTATGCCACCTAGGTCACCAGGAATGGTCTGAACGCAGCCCATGGTTCCAACTTTTCCATTTACTCACTGTGTGACCTTAAGAAAGTCTTTTCTCCTTTCTGTGCCTTAGTTTTCTTAACTGTGAAAATCGTGGGTTGGACTCAATGATTTTAGCTATAGTATTCATATTTTGTTTCTATAGCTTTGGACAATGAACACTGATTAAGCGAGTAATCACCCGGGGGCTCCAGGAGATCCCTTCACATGAAAAACAGCTTCAGTTATGTTAAGCATACTCTATTTACTGAGGCAGGAAAAGGCACCTTTGAGCAAGATTCTCAACAAACTTCAAACAGAAGCAGTTGCATTATTTAATTCAGTTAACCAAGAAATTCTAGTACGCAGAAGGCCCCGTTCCATACTGTCAGAGGACTCACTAAGAAATACTGCTTCCCTTGCCCAGGCCATGAGAGGCAGAGGCAGCTCTAGGAACCTGTAATTTTCCTCTTTGCCTTTCAGGACTGCATTCTCCTGTCCTTCTGCTGTGTGCCTCTGTCTCCTTGCTGGGAGGACTGACTTTTGGCTATGAGTTGGCCATCATCTCTGGGGCATTGCTACAGTTGCAGTTAGACTTTGGGCTCAGCTGCTTTGAGCAGGAGGTTCTGGTGGGGACCCTGCTGCTTGGAGCTCTCCTAGCCTCCTTAGTTGGAGGGTTCCTCATCGACCGGTATGGGAGGAAGAAAGCCATCTTATTTAGCAATGCTATGCTGCTTGCCAGCAGCCTGAGCCTGAGCCTGGCAGGCTCGCTGGCGTGGCTGGCCATGGGCCGAGGCACAGTGGGCTTTGCCATCTCTCTGTCCTCCATGGCCTGCTGCATCTACGTCTCAGAACTGGTGGGACCTCGGCATCGGGGTGTGCTGGTGTCCCTGTATGAAGTGGGCATCACTGTGGGTATCCTGGTCTCCTATGCGCTCAACTACGTGCTGGCTGACACAGTGCAAGGCTGGCGCCACATGTTTGGCTGGGCAGCTGCCCCGGCCCTCATGCAGTCCCTCAGCCTCGTGTTCCTCCCACCAAGCCTGGTTCCACAATACAAGTCTGAACTGGAGACCCATAAGGGCCTCATTCCCCTCCAAGGCCTCGAGGAAGCAGCAGAAACCACAGCCGGCCCCAACAGCAAGAAGCAGTATTCTTTCTTCAGCCTATTTAGGGCCAAGGCTAACATGCGGGGCCGGACCGCCGTGGGCCTGGGCCTCGTGCTCTTCCAGCAGCTCACCGGCCAACCCAATGTGCTCTGCTATGCGTCTACCATATTCCGCTCGGTGGGTTTTCGAGGGGGCTCTTCAGCCACCCTGGCTTCAGTGGGCCTTGGAGGGGTGAAAGTGGTTGCTACATTGGTGGCGATGGGACTGGTGGACCGTGCTGGGAGGAGGGTGCTGCTGATGGCTGGCTGTGCTGTCATGGCCATCTCGGTCAGCGGCATTGGGCTAGTTGGCTTTACTGTGTCAATGGACCCCACACAGGGCTGCCATATGCCTCCTGGGGCACTCAACACAACCTCTGCCTCCAGGCTTCCTGCCTTCCAGGTAGAGCCCAGCCTACCTCCTCTCCAAGGGGCCAGCAGGAACCAAGGCAGTTCAGGTTATGCCATCACAAGATTTACTTCCCTAAAGATGGACACGTCTGGTCCCAAACCCAGAGGGACAGTTGCTAATTCCCCTGGGGTTCAGGGAGCTGTTCCTCCAACTCACCACATACTGGCATATGGCACCAATAACCTGGTTACTGACTCCTCGACCAGCGAACACAGGGTCTTAAACTGGATCTCCTTACTCTGCATGATGGCATTTGTGAGCGCCTTTTCTTTTGGATTTGGACCAAGTAAGTGCACGCAACCAGGCCTGCCCTTAGCTACTCCTAGCCTCAAGGAATCCTCAGGACCCATCCTAGTAGTGGTGATTGAATCCAGTTTTCTGTATAGGCAGAGGAGATAACCCCTCATCTGTCATGGTGCAGAGGCACCCCTGGGATTTCCTCCCATCTGGAAATCTCTCCCCAGCATCAGCCATCCTGAAATTCCACTAGTCATTTCTCTGGATAAATAAACCACTCCTTGGGAAAGAGAAAACCCAGTCAGTCACTAAGTCTTTTCTTTGGAAGAATTAGAGAGAAAGTGGAGTGGAGAATGTGTTAAGTGACTTGGAGTCAGGAAACCTAGGTCTGAATCCTGGCTCTGATGCCTGTTAGTGTTGTGACACCATGGGCAAGTCACTTCCCTTCTCTGTAAAATGGGCATAATGATACTGACACTACCTCCATAATTACAAATGAGATCATGTGTGTAAACCACTTTGCAGAACTTAAAGCACTAGGGGCAGCTAGGTGGCGCAGTGGATAGCACACTGGCCCTAAAGTCAGGAGGACCTGAGTTCAAATCCGACCTCAGACCAAACACTTGACACTTACTAGCTGTGTGACCCTGGGCGATCACTTAACCCCAATTGCCTAAATGAAAATAATAAATAAAAATAAAAAACTTAAAACACTATAAAAATGTTAGCTGTTGTCATCATCATTATTATCTTCTTCCCCTAAACTCACAGGGATGTGAGGAAAATGTGTTTATAAACACAATAGAAATGTGAGTTATTATTAGTCAATATTAGTATATAGAAATGTGAGTTATTAATCAGGTAATAGTACCAACTACCCCTTACCTTTATATAGTACTTTACCTGCAATGGGTTAGCTTCACAACTTCATGAGATGGTACAAATATTAGTATACCCATTTCACAGAAACAGAAACTGAGACTTAGAGAATTAAAGTGTCTTGTGACCGACCTGGGCATATGAATCCTGACTCTGTCTATAGAGCTCTTTTCACCCTTTTGTGAAGCCTCCTAAGAGGATCTAGGGGCAGCATGAGAACACCAAATGTCTGTGACAGGAGATGCTACAAAAGCCCCCCAAAAGGATTGTACATTTAGAGCTTCAAGGTCATCTAGACCAACCCCTTCATTTTATAAACTAGGAGCTTAGGCCAAGAGGATTAAATGACCCAAGGTCACATGGATAGTAAGTAGTAGAAATGGGATTAAAAAATTTTTTTTTCTTATTCTTAACTTAAAAAAAAAATTTAACAATAGGCATTTCCACATACAGAAAGTGAAAGTACAGGTCTCTATCATGCACAGCTTGCTCTGCTTTCTGAATATATAACAAATTTAACCTCTAGCTTTCAAAACTGTCCCTTTGTCTACACTTCTTTCTGTTCTCTTCCTAGAAGTAGGATTTGAACCCAAGCCCTGATTCCAACTCTCACACATTTTCCACCATACCACACTACCTTAGCACCACATTAGTTTTTAGGGCATGGCAAACTGGCTTCATCTAGGAGGTGGCTGTGCTGCTGGGCAGAGGCACTAGAAGTGGCATCAGGAAATGACTGGCTTTTGATCGCACCTCTGGCAGCTTTTTACCATGTGACCTTGAGCAAATCTGTATTTTCTAGTCTGTAAGGAGACACCTGATTAGAATAGGCAGGCGTTACTTGGGGTAGTAGAAAGAGCAGATCACTGGGAGTCTGGAGAACTGGCCTCTGGAGGCCTGAATGTGCCTCCATCTTGGGCAAGTCGCCCTTCTGAGCCTGAAAGATGAAGGGAAGGGACTTCATGACTAAGTTCTAAGATGCTTTCCAATTCTGACATTCTGTGCTCTATGTTCTAAGGTCTTTTTTCAGCTCTAAAATTCATGTTCTATATTCTTTTTTTTTTTTTTTGGTCTAGGCAATGAGGTCAAGTGACTTGCCCAGGGTCACACAGCTAGTAAATGTTATGTGTCTGAGGCCAAATTTGAACTCAGGTCCTCCTGAATCCAGGGCCAGTACTCTATCTACTGCGCCACCTAGCTGTCCCCATGTTCTATATTCTAAGATTCTTTCCAACTTTAATATTCTATGTTCTGTCTTCTAAGGCCCTTCCAGCTCTAATATTCTATGTTCTGTGTTCAGTTTCTAAGGACCCTTCCAACTCTAATATTATATACTCTATGTTCTAAATACTCTCCGTCTTTAGCATTCTATGTTCTATGCTTTCCTTTCTAACTCTATTACTAAATGCTATATGTTACAAAGTCCTTCATGTTTTGGCTATTCCTCCCCAGACCCTATAGTATAGCCCTGTTTTATAGATAGCAGTGCATAAATTTGACCTAAGCATAGGTCATAGACTATCAGGGCTGGGAAGGGCTTTAGGCATAGAGTCTTTTGTTGTTTTTCAGTTGTGTATGACTCTTCATGAACCTGTTTGGGGTTTTCTTGGCAAAGATACTAGAGTGGTTTGCCATTTCCTTTTCTAGCTTATTTGACAGATGAGGAAACTGAGGCAAACAGGGTTAAGTGACTTGCCCAGGGTCACACAGCTAGTAAATGTCTGAGGCTGGATTTTAATTCAGGTCTTCCTGACTCCAGGCCCAGTGCTCTATCCATTGAGCCACCTAGCTGCCTTTCATCATTGAGTCTAACCTTATCTGATAGGTAGAAGAAAAATCAATCTTAGAGGGAAAGTGACTTGACTAAAATCACACAGTGAATTAATGGTGAAGTTGAGACTTGAACCAAAGTCCTTTGACACCCAAGTCACTGTCCTAGAGAGGCTCTTTGCACATCAGTAAGCTAATAGGAGCATTTATATAATGCTTACTTAATGCCAAGGTATGTGCTAAGTGTTTTACGAATATGTCATTTGATTCTCACAACCCACCTGGGAGGTTGGTACTATTATTATCCTCATTTTACAATTGAAGAAATTGAGGCAAACAGGTTAAGTGACTTGCCCAAGGTCACACAGCTGTTAAGTGTTTGAGATTGGATTTGAACTCAGTTCTTCTTGACTCCAGTCTCAATGTTCTATTCACTGTGACACCTAGCTACCCAAAGAAAGGCTTTGTGACCCAAAATACTGAATTGTAGAATTTGATAAACCAGGAGTGGTAGGCAGGGGGAGATATTTGGGGACATGACAACCTGTTCTGTGCACCCCAGATCACACTGGATAGGCAGCTACTTACTTCATCTGCAGGTAAAAGTTGCCACAACATTCTACTCTTCAGCTAGAGGTTCCATCTAACTATATGGGTTTCTCTTCCCTTTCTTTCCTTGGTCTTAATGATCATGGTCCCTGTTGACCCTTAGGGTGGGATATGGGAGTGAAAGCTCACCAACTCTGAACTCTGGTTCTAACCCTGGTGAGAGTGGGGCTGCCTTTTCCCTTTCCCAAATCCAAGACTATTTTCTTTACCACTTGACCCAGGGCAGTGAATCCCCATTCCTACACCTAGTGCTCAGCCACAGATCTCATATTCTGTTTAGCCCTTTAAGGTTGACTTGACCTGAATCCTCCCCCATCCCATCTGTCTCCTAGTCACCTGGCTGGTCCTCAGTGAAATCTATCCAGCTGAAATCCGAGGACGGGCATTTGCCTTCTGCAATAGTTTTAACTGGGCTGCCAACTTGCTGATCAGCCTCTCCTTCCTGGATCTGATTGGTGAGTAATTGTCCTTAAGTCAATTTACCTGTAGGGGAGTGGCAAGCATGGGCTTTGTCACTGTCTGGGGACCCTGGATGTCAGGGGTACAGGTAGGGGGGTGTTTGTTACTGGCTGACATGGTATGAAATGGGGACTGTGGATAAGGGAATAAAATCCTTCTTCCTTTGTGAAACCATAATTGAAAAAGTTCTATGTAGTGTTATTTCAATTTAGTTCAAGTCAACAAACATTTATTAAATGGAATCTGGTGACCTAAGCTCTAGTTCTAGCTTTGTAGCCTCTGCCTCCCCATCTCTACATTCTGACTTCTCTGGCTTTCTTCAAGTCCCAGCTAGCAATCCTACCTTCCAGCAAGCACTTCTTAAACTGTGGGTCGCAACCACACATGGGGTCGTGAAAATTGGGCAACAGTAAAAGGTTTCTGAATGTGCAACAACCAAAAATTAATTCAAAATCAAACGAGTAGTGAATCCAAGGTGTTTCTGGCAGGGCTTGCCCATGTTGCATCAAGCAACTTCATTGCAGCCTTGGTTCTGAACACAAAGTGTGTGCACTTTGCACCGTGCATGCCCTCAGGCCGCACAATGCCAATGAAAACTGAAATGAGTGGGAAAAGTTTAAGAAGCCTTGTTCTACAGGAAACCTTTCCAGACTCTCCTTAATTCTAGTGCTTTCCTTCTGTTGATTATTCCCAATTTATCCTGTTTTTGACTTTTTTGTACATAGATTTTTGCATCTGTCTCTCTCATTAGACTATGAGCTTCTAGAGGGCAGGGACTGGATTTTGCCTTTCTTTGTATCCCCAGTGCTTAGTTACACAGTACCTTGCACATAATAGGAACTTAATAGATACTTATTGACTAAGCTATGGCAAAAGATTCACTGTGTGGCCTTAGGCAGATCACTCTGAATCATAGAGCTGGACTTAGAGATTATCATGATTTTGAATCAGAGAACCTGTGTTCAAATTCTGTCTTTATTACTTACTATTTGTATGACTTTGGATCAATTACTTCATTCCTCTGGGCTTCAGTTTCCTCAATTGTAAAATAAGGGAACTGAACCAGTTCCATTCTAGCTCAAAAGATGTTATTCTTTAATACCCCTGGGCTAGATCTAAGTTCTGACACCCCCATCACCATTTTACATAGGAAGAAACTGAGGCTCAGAATACTTAAGTGAGTTTTCCAAGATCATATAACAGCATGGTGTAAGGAAAGGAGCTTTGGATTTAGAGTCCAAATCCAAACTCTTTTGTCCCTGGACAAGCTATATAATATCTCAGAGCCTCCTGTAAAATGAAGGGGTTGGACTGGATGATTCCAAGGCCCCTTCCAGCTCTAAGTGCGCTCATCCTAAGTGACAAAGCTGGGATTTGAACCCAGGTGCCCTGCTTCCTATCCAGGGCTCTTTTCATTAAACTACTTTGTATTTTTATACATATATTTCTTTATGTTACATACGTATGGCTCCCCCAGTAAAATGCAAACTCATTGTGAATAGGGATTGTTTCGTTCTTTGTGTTTGTATCCCTATTTCCTAGCCCAGTACCTGGCATATATTAGCTATTTAATAAATGTTTGTTGATTGATTTTTGTTGTTTAGTCCTTTTCAGTCATGTTTGACTCTTTGTGACCCCATTTGGGGTTTTCTTGGCAAAGATCGTGGAGTGGTTTCCTTCTCCAGCTCATGAGGAAACTGAGGCAAACAGGGGCAAGTGACTTGGCCAGGGTCACAAAGCTAGTAAGTATATGAGGCTGGATTTGAACTCAGGTTTTCTTGGCTCCAGATCCAATGCTCTCTACCACCTAGCTGCCCCCTTGTTCATTGATAGGAAGATGTATATTACTCTTCCCCTTCCAAGGCCTTTGTTTCCTATCCTGATGGGATAAAGGGGGTCATAGATTTAGGGCAGCAAAGGTCCTCAGAGATCATCTAGTCCCCCCATTTTACAGATGAGGAACCTGAGGACCAGGGGGACTTAAGTGATTTGCCCAAGGTCACAGAGGTGGTAAATGTCAAGGACAGGATTTAAACCCAGCTTCTCTGTCTGTAGAACAAAGACTTTTTCCACTTTATCACACTGTCTCCTTAAGGGAACTGGCCTTAGTGAATTCTGAAAACTCAGAATAAGGACCAACTCCTGCTCTGTTAACTCCTACAAGAGCCAGATCACTGCCTAACACAAAGATCCTTGGCCTTTACTTGTCACCTGTGACTGCAAACCATTGCACATATTGTCCCTTTTGTCTCTTTAGGAGCAATCGGCTTGTCCTGGACCTTCTTGCTTTATGGGCTGATGGCTGTGCTTGGCCTGGGTTTCATTTATTTATTTGTCCCTGAAACCAAAGGCCAGTCCCTGGCAGAGATAGACCAGCAGTTCCAGAGAAGACGGTACGTGCCACCAACGGGTCAGGGCCAGAGGCTTAAAATCTCCACAAACTGCCCCCCTATACCTGTGATGAAGTGAATAAAGCCCTGATAAGCAGTTCTTGGATTTTATGGTCTGTATTCTGCCTTCCTCCCAATACTGCCCTCTTTTCTTCCTGGCCTCAGATGCTATTCCACTCACTTCTGCTATCCAGCTCACATTGCCTGCTGGTTCTCTCATGCCCTCATAGCTTTTTTTTGGACCCAATTCCCAAGAATCATAAAATCAGAGCCATAGAATCCTGGCATCACAGTGTTAGAGCTGAAAGGGACCTTGGTGGTCCTATGGTCCACTTCCCACCCCTTGCAGGAATCTCCCCTGAAGTATCCCTTACCTGTCCCGTTACCTAGCATTTTCTAGAACACAACCATCACTGCACAGCTCACTCTGACATGAGCTGGCCTTTTCCATAGTTCCACAGCTCCAAATAGTTAATAAGTTTTTCCTTTAAGGTAAGAGGGGGTGGAAATTTCCTTTAGGGAGAGAAACTGAAACCCACCTCCTTCTAACTTCCTTCCTTTCGCAGGCCCAAGTTCTTTCTTAAACCTAGTCCCTAACTCTTCAAATTTTTGAAGACAATGATAAAATCCTCCCCAAGCCTTCTCTTCTCCTAGCTAAATATCCTCAGTTCATTTATCCTGTCCTTACATAACATGGCTTTGACTTCCCCTCCCCATCCTGCTCCAACCATGATGAGACTCAAGGCTTGGTCCAGGGCCCAGAGCAGAGGAGTGAGGCAGACCTCACTCTGATGGTTGTAAGTGGTGGGAGATGATACCCAGGAACCAAGGAGGCATTCTGGGCAAGCCAACCTAGCTAGGTGGTGAGAATTTAGGAGACCAGGAGATGAAGTTGAAAGGGTGGCAGCAGCAGGACTGGTTGCAGGGGCTAGATGCAGATGGCACAGTCTGCTTTAGCCTAAAATAGGCTATTCAGCTCAATCAGATTTTTAACAGGATAGGAGTGTTGTTAAGATTGGTTTCAGGTGAGGAGACACAATTAAAAAACCAATCTCCCTAGGCACAGTTGAGTTCCCAGGCTTCCCACTTAGGGCCCACTTTGGATTCTGGAGCCCCAAATGGCAGGACTATTATGGTACCTAAGTTCCTGTGGAACCCATAGGTCCCCTGGTCCATGTGTTCCCTATAGATGAAACATGGCTCAATAATCTCTAGGGATAGGCTTGATCTAGCACCTTCTAGGTATGGCCCCTACATCCAAACCCTCCTTGGGGCTCCCTTCTCCCTCCTCCTGTCCCTGAAACCACCCTGTGCACTTTTGTTACTGTCTCATCATACTCCTTGTCTGACAGGTTCTCTCCTGGGAAACTGATCAGCGGCCGTCTGGGCCAAGGACCCAGCTCAGCCTGGGCTCAATACAGCCTGGTAGATACGTCTACTGCCTCCTGAGATACTCCAGCTTCATGGAAGGAAGGACACAGATCTGAGGTCTCTAGCAGTTGGGGCCAATGTAGTCACTGAACATTTTCATCTTTCTCTGATAAGAAATCATTGTGTTCCACAATGATTCAGGGTCACCTTAGTACCTTCATGTAATAGGAGAGGAGAGGCCAAGTTGTGACCGGTCATTTCCTCTCCCCACCCCAGAATCCCTCTCTTCTCAAGGACAATCAGGAAATCCTGAACCTTTGCTCTCAGCTTTGGACTGACTGGTAGCAGGGAACCAGACTCAACTGATGTGCCCTGCCTTAGTTTCTCCCTTTGGGCTTCTATAATAAGGTGTTTAAACATCTGAAATATAATAATTAAAATTGTGGCTTATAGGGTATTTCAATTTTCAAAACTCTTTACTGTCTCTCTCACTTGCTGTCCTGCCAGAAAGTTTCTTGCAGAATCTTCCTATTAGAACAAAGTAGCACCAACTTGATGTGGTTTGAGTATTGAGATGAGCTGTACCTCTAAAACCCCTCCCAGCTCTGGATCTGTGGTCTAAGACCTAACTCTGGGTAACATCAGCCAATTCTCCTCTCCCGCCACTCCCTAACCCCCTTATATGGTTCCTTGAAACTCCTGGAGATTAAGTGAGAACCCTTATATTCCCTGGGGTAGACCTCGGACTCCTCATAACCTCTAGGGAGAAATCAAGACCTCTCATACCTTTGGAGATTGCCTGGGCCTGGGCACCCAGCCTGCTAGATTTCTTTTGACCCCTCTGGGGGTATTAGGGCCCATCAGGGACTCCTTTCTACATCCCGGCTTCCCTAGTTTCCTTCAAGCTTCAACTAAAATCGCACCTTCTACTGGAAACTTTACCCAATCCCCCTTAGGTCTAGTACTTTCTCTCTGTTAATTATTTCCTCTCTGTGTCTATAGCTTGTTTGCTATATATGTTTGCTTGTTGTCTTCCCATTAGACTGTGAGCTCCCTGGGGGCAAGGACTGTCTTTTGCTTCTATGAATTTCCAGCACTTAGCACAATGCTTGTCACCTAGTAGGCCCTTAAATGTTTATTGACTGGCTGGCTTAAAGAAGCATTACTGAAGACCCCAAAGGGCCATGCAGTACTGAAAGCAACAGGCCCCTTTATTTGGAGTGTTGAAGGGAAGGCCGCTTAGCTTAATTGAAGATACTCAAAGGACCATGGAAAAGGAGGCAAGGGCAACCAGGAAAGAGTACTAAGGTGGCATCTGCTCCACTCCCCTACCACACACATTGAAGCCGTTACCAATACTTCCAAAGCTGGATGGGGAAGGGATACAAGAAGGGATGTCACCAAAGAGCCTACATCTCAATGTTCTCTAGGCCCCGGCAGGAGGAAGGAGTCCACATTGGGAGCAAAGGGCTACTCCCAAGACACAGTGCAAACAAATTCTTGATAGTTTGATGGACATCTTCATTCCATGTGTCAAGATGGCAGAGGGAAAACGCAGAGGAACAGGTGTTTTATAGAGTGAGTAACACCGGGGTCTCATGTTGAAGACATGTTGATTAGCTTCCCACCTCAAAGGTCACAGGCAATTACCTAGGTTGCTAGAAGTTTTAAACTTGAAAGGTCCCAAATGCAAAAGATTCCAAAAGGATCCTAATATGGGCAAATCAGTGTAGAGTAAGCCTGTCAGCTAGAGAAAGATTAGGTGTCCCAAACAAGAGATTCTTCAGGTCTACTACAGGGGGTCACTATGATTTAGCCATTAGGTTCTGAATTCTCAAGGATGATCCAACCAGATTGAGGAAAATGTGTATGTATAGAGATCTCCCTGTCCAACGCCCAGTTTCGTAGGATGTTAAGCTGAGAGGGACCTTAGAAAGTATGTAGTCTGAGCCTCTTATTTTATAGATGAGGTAACTGAAACTCAAGAGGTTAAGTGACTTACCCAGAGTTACTTTCGCAGCTGGTAAGTAGCAGAGCTGGGACTCAAACCCAGATCCTCTGATTCCAAATATACCCTTGCCATTAGACCATTTTTGAGCCTGCACACCATCACTTGGCATTAGGCGGAGAAGAGACTTAAATCCCAGGACTCAAGGTCACCCAGCAGAGTGTCAGATTGCCTTGGGAAGGCTGTTCCAATGAACCCTGGTTAGACTCAAGCGGTAATGTTCAGGGGACACTGGGAGATACAGTGGGTTCAGGCTAAACTATGACCCTTGAATGCTGGGTCAAGAAGCTTAGACTTTAAGGAAACCACTTAATGTCTTTGGGCCCCAGTTTCATCACTGGGTAAAATGAAGGGGTTTGAACTGGTTGATGCCTAAAGTTCCTTTCAGTTCCAGTCCTATGATTCTGTAATCCCGTTGCTTAATCCTGCAGGATTAAGGAGCTATGGAAGTTCCTAAATAGGAGAGTTACTGGGTTTTTCCAGCACTACCCCCCCTCCTTAGCCTTTGAACCTTAGTACCACAGAATGATCAATACTTAATGAAGAGCAAGGATAGACTTTTGAAATCATCTAACTTTACAAAGGAGGAAATGGGACAGGTTAAGTAATTTGCACAAGGTGTTATTGCCAGGAATCCTAAAACTTTTCCCATTGCACTAAGCACAGACACAGATGCCCAATAAATACTAAGCAAGAGTGTAGGAGAAAGAATACTCTATGAGGAGTCAAGAGAACTGGGACCATGACCCAACTTTGCCATTAACTTGCTGTATGACCCTGGCCAAATCATTCCCCTCCATGGCCTCAGTTTCCTTCTCTGTCAAATGAAGTGGGTTGAACTATATAGTTGCTAAGGTCTCTTCTCTACCAACCTATGAATCTACAAACCTGCTTATTAAACAATTAAAAACTTGTTAAAAATTAACAGCTAATTAAGCTAATTAAAGTTACACTGTGATGGAAGATTAAGTGCTAGATTGGGGACTCAGAGCCCTGGGTCAATTCCCAACTCACTATGTGACCTTGGTCAAGGCACACCTCTGAGAGCTTAGCCTCAGTTTACTCATCTGTAAAATAAGAGTTGGACTAGAGGAACTCTAAATGTAAAATTTTATTCTATCTTATCCTTCCACTCATCTGCTGTTTCTCAAACTGTCCTCAGTTGTTGCAATTATTATCAATCATATTGGCATGTAATAATACATTACAAAGTACTTTTACATTATGTCACTGGAGACTCAATACCCAAGTGCAGGAGAAAGGCAAGAATTATGCTGCTGCTTTACAAATGACGGTACTGAGTCACAGACAGGGGAAGTCACTTGTCCAAGGTCACAAAGCTGATTAAACACTTGGCCCTAGATAGGTGGGGGGATGAAATGAATGGCCCATCCAAAATGACTAGAATTACACCGTCACAAACACTGGGATCGTCCCAGATATTGAGTGCCTCCAAGTATTTTGAAATCACAGAGCAGTGGACTGCTTTCTGGCCAAACTTTGTGTGGTGAGAGTGTGGGGACCGATACAGCGAGAGGCTGGTGGTGAACCATGGCCTGGATGACCAGAGGAGACAGAACTGGGCAGGATTTTCATCCCTTGGACTGTAGTAAGGAGGCAGCCTCATTCCCAATTTGGCTAGAGCTGCTCAGCATTCCCCTGCACCAGCACCAGCACCAGCACCAGCACCAGCAAGGTAAATAAGTAAGTAAGTAAGGCTCTCTGTTTTGGCAGGTGCATTGGGGGACAATACTATTTTCTGCCACTAGATGGTGCCCAGGGATTGCTTGGACATACTCTTACTGCTACAAGAGTCTAGAAATCATCTTGTCCCTTTTCAGCTGGGGCAGCTGGGGTATGGTGGGAAGTACTCTGGATTTCTAGCTAGGAGACATAGGTTTGAATCCTTCTTCTGTCACTCACTAGCTGTCTGCCTGGTGCAAAGTCACTTCACCCCAGTTTCCTCATCTGTAAAATGGGGAAACTACACCTAGCTGCATGGTGACATATAAAAAATGCTTTGTAAACTCAAAGAGTGCTGTAGAAATGTGACCTGATTTCATTATTGCCTAAGGTCACACAGGTGATAAATGGCTTAACAAGGACTGGAACCCAGCTTTCCTGCCTTCTAGGTTAGGGTTCTCTCCCTTATGTTCCATTTTATTAGTATCCCACTGAGCTTTCTCTACAATAAGAAAGTATACTTCTGGATGTCAGAGAAGATGTTTGTTTCTGTCTCCCATTGGGTCAACACAGGGCTTAGATGTATGTATTTAGTTACAAGCTCAGTAGTGATGTGTCATATCCCCCATCCTCCAACCAAGGTCCTACTCCTTGAAGAAGAGGTGTAGGGAAAATTATACATAATGGCACCCAGTTCCTTGGGAGGGCTTTGGTCACAGAGCTTTTCAAAGGAGAGATAGCGTGGCATAGTGGAAAGGGCACAACTGGACATCAGAAAGTATCTGCTGGAGTCCCAGCTCTGCTGCGGTGTATGAAGTTGGTCAAATACTTTCCCCTTTCCAGGCTTCAGATTCACTTTTTATAAAATAAGGGGATTGGACAAGATGTTCTGTAAGGGCCCTTCCAGTTCTAATATTCTGGGTTCTAAGGGCCCTTCCAGCGCTGACATTTTGTATTCTAAGGTTCTTAGTCTATGAGTTTGCCTCTGAGGGGAAAGAAGAAATCATCAGACTTCTGACTATATAGCTTTTGAAGACTCTGAGGACATGTCACTGCATGGGAAAGGGGCAAAGAACCTGATGGTGAGAAGAGGTGGAGACAAGGTTGAGAGAAACCAGAAGACACAAAGCCAGTTGGTGAAAGTTACTTTCTGGGAGTATTTGATCATTCAAGACTCTTCTCTCCTCCCTCCTGTCTTCCTGCCCTCCCTACTTGGCTAAAAGCTTCCCTAAGAAAGGGATGTTATCTTTCAATGAAACTTTAATGGGGCTATGAGACCCCTGTGCTTTTTTTCCTCCCTTGCTTCCTCTCTGACTAGGCATGAGACTTTTTGTTGGATAAGTATGTGTAGGAGGGTAGGGGTGCTGCAAGTAGGTCTAACTGACTGCTTAGGCCACAAAATCTCTTTCCAGAGAGAGGAAGATAATACACATCTTATTATCTCCATTTTACAAATCAGAATTTGTGACTCAGAGTGGTCCAGTGACATGCTCTAATTCTGACAGCTAGGAAATGTCAGACTCAGGCCTCTCCTAAATTCAGGTCCATCTCTTTTTCATGACCTATTGCTAGCTCTCTAATAAAAGCCCCCTCCCACTCAGAGACTGAACCACACTGTTGCTTTGAAAGGGTAATCCTAACTTCTAAGGGCAAGAGAGGAAAGAAGGAGATAGGAAAAAAGCAAATTGTGGATTTTAAAGCTTGAAGGGACCATAGATGCTGTCTGGTTCGTCTTCTCATTCTACAGTTATGCCTTGGCCATATGG